GCACATGGAGAAGCAGGGAGAGTTGGTGGTGCAGAGAACGGCTCCTGGCGCTGATGCCTCAGATCGTCTCACTGGCCCCTCGTGTTTTAACAACCCCGACCTTCGTTCTCGGGTCTGAGTGCGGGGGACGCAAGCTGTGGACCTCAGACTTCTAACCTCCGTGTCTCCACCCACTCTCCTTCCCTGCAGCCGGATACTTCGTTCTGCTCAGTTTCCATAGAAATAGCGCCAGGTTGGGGAATGTTAGTGTGGGGATGGCAGACCACACACTTATATCCACTGGTGATTTTAGGGTGGGAGAGTTACATCCCATGCCCACATTCTACGTCTCAATGACTTACACGTCCCAAGTACAGGTACTGGACATCAAAGATCTGAGGAAATGCATCGACGTTAGGAAAACATTTTAGTTTTTAGTGGAAATACTGCTCGCCCAGTTTGCTTACCTATGAACTAACATGGGTTGTGAATAGCATGATGAACTGTGCCGATTTGATTGAACCAAAGTCTAGCAAAAAAAAAAAGGCGACAGGCAGTTTTAAGGTGTTCAAATAGATTTTTGTGATTTTTTTTTAACTGAGAGAGAAATGAATCATCATGTAAACGCACGGGTTAGAAAATCCTTTTAACGAGTGTAGGTTGCAGTTCGAGCTGCCGTGGATGCTTAGCAATACCCGGCCAGGCACCGGCACCACGACGTGTGAAGGCTGAAGTGCTGCTTATTTCGCTCCTCACGCGGGTGTCCGTGGGTGCCACGCTGCAGCTCAGCCCACTGCTGTTTGGAAACAGGGATCCTGGCTCTTTCCCTAGAGAAAGGTCCTTGGCGGGTCCCTGCAGTCATGGTGTCCCTCCGGCTTTCATGCATTTTTCATAGGCACATTGAATTGCAAAGAATTAGCCTTATTAAGGACTCCAGGTTTTGCTTTTAATGAAACCCACTGTTATGCTCTCTCTATTAAATATGGAAACAAAAAAATTGTATCACTTGTGAAAAAATCTAAGATGTTTCAGGGCTTAAAAGGGAATCTAATATGGGCCTGTTAGTAGAAAGATAATGATTTGGGGATTAAAATATCACATAATTGTTTATCGGCATTAACTTTTGCCTCTTACAATGCGCTTAAAAATAAACTGCATTGTAACCGAGTAACTTGGAAACATAAAAAGGGGATTAAACGACTGAAGATAAAAACAAGAGTCATTTAAATGTTACTTCTGAGGAAGCATTTATGTAGAGCCGTGGTTTACAGGAATTGTTGACATACTCCCCTAAGTACCGCGTCTGTGCTTTTTCCGGGTATCAATCATTGGAAGCAATTTGGGTAATGGCACCCTGACATGCATTTCTGCGCTTTTCTTCACGCCCTCGCCTGCCTCCTCACCAGGCAGTGCCGTTCTGGGCAGACCCGGGAAGCAGACTCTGCCATCGCTGTGATGGCATGGTCAAAGGATAATTTATTGTCAAATAGAAACACAGGTCAACCCTCATGTCACTCGATGATCGACCCCCACCACGTTTAATAACACATCTCACCGGCGTGCGGGCCCGCGCCGGGCTTGCTGTTTTATTGGGACTACCTGGCCGTGGTGGCGGTGTAATTACTGCGCTGTCAGAATGATCAGTGGGATTAATGGCGGCTGGGTGCACTCTCGTTCCGCGGTGCGCCCGGAGAATTGCAAGATGCTGTTATTATCCGAGCCGGCCGGTTCTGGCACAGTCGTGGCGTGGAAAGAAAGAAAGAATGCTGCCATTCAGGTTGGCGTTGCCCCGGCTCATTAACATCTGACCTTTCCACCAGCTGTTCCTCCTGAGCTAGCTCAGTAATAAAAGGAGGGGTGTTTGGTAAAGAGGCTTCATAACCACAACTAAAAATCTTTCCGTTGTCAGGGCTGTGAAGGGAGGCTGTTTATACGCTGAAGGAAAGATTTCTCTGGAAGAATGGGAAAAAAAACACCGGGCACTAATTTGACTCCTTTATACCTGTTGACGTTATAACTTTATTTTGTAATTGCCTTAGGATTCAAGTTGGGTCTTAGGGAGAAAAGAAAAAAGCACAGAACTTGTGACTTCATTAGGGATTACCAGAATATATATATGTGTGTGTGTGTGTGTGTGTATATGTATATATGTATATAATATACATATATCTAGATGTATAATATCTCTATATATCTGTTGCTGCATTCTTCATAAATGACAGGTATTTTAAAAATCTGTTTAAATGGCTTTTTAAAAAATAGAAGGTATTTAAGACGGCATATAATTTGCTTAATTTTTAATTTTATGTAATAAAAGTTCTAATTTTATGTAATTTTTATGTAAGAGAATTTTTAATTTTATGTAATTTTCCTATTACATAATAGGAAAGAAACCCTTTCAAATTGCTGTTGATGCTCAGCGCACTAATTCGTGTGACAGTGACATAAGTGTCACCTCACTGGCATCCAGGCCCAAACGGGCCACGTGTCACGCTCTTCTCTCATTGTTGTACCATGCGTGCTGCTGATCACACATTCCAGAAATTCTTTTTTAACTCAGTGACAGTGTTTTAGGGGGGAACACGCATAAGCATGAGAAGATAGGGATTCTGCTAAATGACAGATGTGAGTTTAACAATGGCATTTGCAGAAATGGCAGGAGAGAGGTTTAATGACTACATCTCAGAGAGGACAATTGGTTATGAAAAGCCTTCGCTCCTCATTGTGTAAGATTTAATTTAGAGAGAAGGCTGAGGGCACAGACCGGGGAAAAGAGATCAGATGTAAAAACAAGGTATTAATTAGGTACTGAGGAACCAGTTCACATAATGAAGAGGACTCTTCCCCTCACAAGAGAATAACAAGGAGACAGGTATTGTTTTCTCACAGAAAGGAACCAAGGCCTGTACACCAGGACCTGGGTGGGAATGAGCTACCAAACCACCTTCCTCAACAGAGCAAGGTCGGATTCCTCCTCGGTGAAGCTCTCTGCGCGTTCAGGTCTTCCGACAGACGAGATGGTGGTACATCCTGAGTTTTAGATCTCTGCTCTATTTTTTTCTGTTCCCACTTAGTTTACGGCCAACCAAACTCCACTAGTTCACATACCCTATCCCACCCTGCTTCCGAATGCCCGCTCATTCTTGTTTTATTAGTAAAGTTACTGGGGTGACATTAGTTAGTAAGATTGTATAGGTTTCACCCTGGCCGGTGTGGATCGGTGAGTTGCGGCATTGTTGCATGGACTGAAAGGTCACAGGTTCATTTCTTTGTCAGGGCACACACCTGGGTTGTGGTTTCGGTCCCAATCAGGGTGTGTACAAGAGGCAACACATCGGTGTTTTTCCTTTGACATCGATGTTTTTCTCCCTCTCTCGCCCTCCCTTCCTCTCTCTCTTAAAAATAAAAAATCCATGAGAATGTCCTCAGGCTAAAAAAAATATTATATAGGCTTCAGGTGTACATTTCTACTATACATCGTCCGTGTAGTGCCTGGGTGCCCGCCACCCAAAGTCAGATCTTCCTCCATCACCATGTATCTGACCCCTCATACCCTTTGCTACCCCTCTAAACAAAAAGGCAGCTACCTGAACGGGAGAAGATATTTACAAACAACAGCTCCGACAAAGGGTTAACATCCAAAACATATAAAGAACTCATATGACTCAACACCAAACAAACAATGAGAAATGGGCAGAGCACCTGGACAGACACCTCCCCGAAGAAGACACACACATTCCCCCTCGTTCTCCAAGTCTCCCTGGAAGCACTGCCCCTCCCAAAAATCTCTTCCTGCCTCATTAACTATTTAAAGCAGATGAATGAGTGGACAAGCAGATGCGAATATGACACGAGAGACTGTTCCACCGGGTATCATTCCTGGCTTCAGTCCTGGTGTCATTACGGAATTGCGATTCTCCCTAAGTGGATCCAACCATGCACATCGGAACCATCTCTAAAGGTTTTCCCAAAATGCACAGGGGACCCTCTGCAGGACCTGGGACACCTGTCAAGCCCTGGGGTAGCTCCGAGGCATTTCCACGGGAAGCCGCCCCTGAGACCGGATGAGTGTGCAGGGGCTTGGGCCGAAGACCACCGTCTGTAGAGAGCATGGGAAACAGGACTGCAGGGGATCCTGAAAGCTCTGCCCCCCAGGTCGGGGCAAGGCCCGGGCCTGGACCCCTCACTGGCTTGTGAGTGCCTGCTGCCGTGGCAAGGGGGCTTGACCTTGGCTGAGCCCGCTCTCAGCTGGGGGCATAAACACCGAGGTCTGGAAGGAGGTGGGCCTGGGCGATACATCATCGCCGCGGCCCCAAAGCCCAGGTGCCCCGTGACTGGTATGTCGGCTAAAGTGTAGGAAATGGGAGGGGGTGGCGATGGTGGCAGCCCAAGAAGGAGGGGACGAGGACAGGTGGGGTGGAAGCGAGGAAGGGAGGACCCTACAAGTGGCAAAGAGAGATACTTTACCTCTCTCGTTGGTACGGGTCTGGCGGCAGTAAGGCCTGCTTGCCTGTGGTTGGCAGGGTCATGCTGTGGGTGTAATAATTTGTAGCTTTGGTTTGAACGTTGCACCTGAAATGTCACCCGGTGTGCTTGAGTGTGATAGTGTATGTTACAGAAGGACATGCTTATGGTTTTGTAGTAAAAAGGGGCGTTATTTCCTAACTTTTATTGTAAAAGATTGCACTCTCCAGTGTTATCCGTGTTCTAAGGGATCCAAATGAGACGGATGGAGTCAGGGAGTGAAGGACGGATCTTAAATAAGACTGGTCCTCCAGCACTCCAGGGGGCGCACTGTCTGCGGGCACGGCTGTGCCAATGCTCTTTGATACATTGTTGACGGTGTGGAAAAAATGAAACAATGTGTTTCCTTCCTTGCTTAAAAAAAGATTCCGTTCCTAAACGCGGTGTGGTTCTAGGAGTACTTGCTGCCTGCTCGCTCAGAATGGGTGGAGGAGGGCATATCCGGCATCATCTCAGTTACTAGGTGGTTTCTTCACTCCGGTTGTTTCATTTCCCAGATGCCTGAAGTGCGCAGACGCCCCGTGTCAGAAGAGCTGCCCGACGAATCTAGACATCAAGTCGTTCATCACAAGCATCGCAAACAAGGTAAATCCAGATTTATTTCTGCAAATGAAACCTAATAACACCCTTTGGTCTTGAGCTCTGTAGACATGTGACTGAGGCATAAAGCTTTGTGTTGGTAGATTGGGTGAAAGAATTAAAAATGTGGTTCCTGTAGGCAGGTGGAAATAGGGCCCATTTTATTCATTAGTCTCCTCCAAGACATGATATGATTATTGTGAAACTGCATGTTATTGTTTGTTACCTTAAAGATTAGTTTATGATGAAATGAATAATTTTTAAATGTACACATTTGCTGAATGGATTGATCTAGTTTCAGGTTGCTAAATGCCTATCCATGGGACCTTTCATCCATCATCAACACACATTTCAAATTTGTGAACTATCTTTGTTTTAGAGTGTGCTCTGGTATTAAGTCTGGCACACCAAGACACATGACAGGAATGGAACCCTCTGTTCTATTAACATTCAGTTAACTTGCTTAAGCTTTGGAGTAATTTAAAGAGACTGATAAGAGTTGTAAACAAAAAATATCCTCCAAAACCAAAAGAATGACAGACAGACAGAAAATCAAAGAAAGAAAGAAAAGTAAAAGGAACACAAATAGAGCAAAAGGAATTTTGATTTTTAAGGTTTTTTTTTTTTAATCAGTATAAGGCTGAGCCCAGTTTTCATTCACCAGGTGAATGGTTGGTTGATTGAATGATTGATTAATAGTATGTTGTTCACGAGGAGAGCATTGTAAGCTCTTAGCGAGTGTCTTATCCTTTAACAAGCGAACAAAACCTGAAGCAAGTCTCTCCATAGGGATGGCGGGGAATCCTTTCCAAAGGCTTCAATACTTACCTTCTAAAATGCTGCAGAAATCCAATGGGCTGCTCAACAACCCGGTGACTTTTTATATATAAAGATTATTTCTCAGCACGTCAATAATTTAAAAACACAGGATAAAAATGATAAATTTATATAGCTACAGAATTTCAACAGAACAAAACGTGTCACGGAGATAGAGGGTGTGGTATTAACCTACATGGTCCAATTTATTAGGGTTTGAAGTCGAGGTTGAAGTTTCAGGTTGACTACTTATACAAGGTTTTGCTATAAACTGAATAATACATGAAAAATCTCTAATATAGTAATTCTTCAGGAAATATTTTGTTGCTGTTGTTGGAATGATTAATGTCCCTATTCATGCAGTATGGCAAATACCATAAAGTGATGGCCACTTTTATAGTTCTGATTTATTGAACACCTACTATGTACCGAAACCACCTGCCTTTTACAAGTTTATAAGCTATGAGCCAGGCAGATATATTAAAAGAATAGCGACTGAACCACGATTCAGTGTGGTTAGTGTTGCAATCCAGGAAGTGTGTTCAGTGCATGCAAAGCCAGAAATGCGGGCTAGTGCAAGGAAGGTCAAGGGGGAGTGTGGTGGATCCCTGTGTCTAAAACAAAGCCTTGGTTACATGTGGGGAAGAGAAATCATGGGAGAAACATAAGACCAGGTGGTGAAAATCTTTGAACTCTGTGCTCAGTATTAGAGACTTAGCCCTATAGATAGTAGGAAAGAACCAGTGTTATTTGCTTTGTAACTAAAAAGGTGGATTCTGGGGAGGGAATCCTTGTTGACTGGCATCAGCCGATCTCAAATAGCCATTGTCATAGGAATGTGTGTAAAAATAAGTAACTTATGTGAAACATACGTAAGAAATCTTACGTCACTGTAACCTCACAAGGAAGGGAGTGAAATTAAGTGTCCAGAGTGTAAAGTCTGAAACGCGTTGGCCGTAGTTACAGCGAAGGCAGCTCTGCCGCCTCGGAGCGCGAGCAGGTGCCGGAGCTATGACGCCTGCGGGCCAGACTCTCCCCCTGAACTGAGGAGCGACCCTGTGATTCTCAGTAGCACATGCCCCTTCCTTCAGATAAAGATACAGGACAAAAATGGAATAACGGCATTCTGTGGAACGTTGACAAGATGTCTGAGCGAGATCGGAATCGTCTCGAAAATGGGAAGCCTTCCTGTTTCATTAGTGTGTCCGCATTTGATGCCGCTTCACCACGCATGGCACTTGGGTGTGATGTAAGCAGATCGCCCCGTGCAGAGAAGAACCTGGAGCTGCTTGAGTGATGACAAAGGCTTTGCCAGTCCCGTGAGCCTCTCTTTGTGAACAGTGTTTTGTGGAAGAGTCACCGCAGCGACCCCACGAGGGCAAAGACTCCGGTTTCAAAAGGCTGCGGTTTTTTTAGATGCTCATCAGTGGTGTGCAGCGTGGGCCCTGGCGGGGGCTTTCTGGGTGGAGAGGGTGACTGAGTGGCCAGAGTCACTGAGCCGATGCCTCTTTGAGGACAGGATGTCACTGGTGTGGCATGGTGTTACTTAGGCCTCTGTCCTTCCTAGGAGTTGCAGGCCAGCACTTCCGCTCCCTGTTTGACTGACGGGGTTGCGGCTCTGGGCTCGCGGGCACACTGGGTCCTTCCGGGCCCCTCGGCCAGTGTCCTCTGCCTCCCTCCTGCAGGCTGTGTGTGCCACCGCCTGTCTCCACGGGCAGCCGCCTCCCAGAGCCACGGGCCCGGGTGTCCTGGGCTACATCTCTTGATCGCTTTCCTTTGAGGAGAACGGTACTTTACGGAAGAATGCATGAGGTCCATCGTGGAAATGCAGTGGAAAAAAACATCACTGCTTTAAATGGGTTCCTTTGTCTGCTCTGTTTTCAGCAATGGAGATATTTTTGTCTTTTGGACTGTTACATTAAATTCTAAAGTGTTGATTTTTTTCTTTACTGATTTCCATATTTTATAGAATCCACATGCCCAGATGCACGTGGCCTTTCTATCAAGATAAATAAATTTAATAATACGTGTCAGAGAAAAGCTGACTAAATGACTCAGTGGAGAATGGAAGGCTCTTTGTCACATACCCCTATTGAAAGGAACCAGCAGAGCGTATTGATAAATACCACTGACCACAACATTTTTATTTAAAAATAGCTGTCTCAATAGATGTGTGTGGGGGTACACACGCACACACACGCACCCCTCCCCCCCCAACACGCATGCTGCTTGTGTTACAAAGCAGAGAGCAATCCATCAGTAGATTCAGGGCAACCTCCTTTTGGGTTTGCTTTCAAATTTCAATGGCTGCGTGGTTTATACCTTTATCAAATAAAACACTGATCCTTTCCAGAATAATTTCATCAAAGCGTAACTCTAATTTTATTACTTCCTTGTTCAAAACATGCCGGTGGCTCCCCAGTGCCTGGAAACTGAGGTCTGGATACACGACCCCTTTAGCCAAGCCCATCGGTCTTTCACCCCATTTTACAACAGAGAAGTAAGTAGATGCAAAAAATATTAGGCATCCCACCTTTCATTGCCTGGCATTTTCCAAATGTAAATGCTTAGAACAAAGGAGCAGTGATCAGATTTCTGGTTTCCTTCGACGCACCAGGCTTGCTCCTCAGTTGTGTTTCTCGAGGGTGACTTGTAAGCTCCTCCCGCCATCCCCTTCCCGACCTGCCGGAAGGAGGCACCGTACTGCTCAGAACACCCCTTTCCAAACCTCTGTCTCCGTGGGTCGTGCGTGCATGTTCTTTGACTGGTCCCTTCCCGACCCAAGGACAGGGACCACAGTGGGAGGATTGAATCTGGGAGCTGGGGTGGCCTGGGTGGATGAGGGCAGAGGGGACATCGGGGTGACTGTTGGAGAATGACAATTACGAAAAATAAGACCTCAGTCTCCGTTATGTTCCTAGAGTATAAACAAGGCATTATTCCACAGGGTTGCACATGCCACTGGGTTTGAATAAATACTTCTGAACTCGCGTCAACTTTCTTCACAGTTGAGAGGCCAGGTTTTGCATAATGCGCAAACGTGTATTTTTCCTAGGACTGAGTGAGCTTGAAATTCTGCAGCTGCTGCGCATTATGGGTCTCTGTCATTTGGGATTTTAATTTGGGTGAATCTTGTGGCCTAGGAAAAGGTACCATCATTCTAATTAGCTTCACCCTGTCTCATAAGATACCATTTTCTGTATATTAATTCTGTCCTTTAAAACTTGATGCGATAGGTAGGGTGGTTTTTGCTTTATTGGTCAACATTGGATTGGTTTTATTTACATTTTTGCCAATTTTCTTCATTCCTTTGCTTTTTCTTACTTTTTTTTTCCTGCATTAGAATTTCCATGGGAGAGCAGTTTACTTTTACTTGAAATAAATACTTCAAATGTTTCATTCAGTAAGGGTATATTGTTGATATACTATCTTAGGTTTTGTTTCTGGAGCTCTTTTTATAGTTTTTTATGTCTGAAAAATATTTCCACTTTGTATAAAATTCAGGGTTGGCTGTTATTCTTTTCAGCTCAAGAAAAACACATCAGATTTGTTGGTCATGACCTGCTGCTCCTGGAAAAATCAACATAAGCCCAGTTTTTGTCCATTTGAGGACCGTAGGTCTTTGGGGAGGAGGGTGGTTTTAAAGACCTTTTTATCTAAGTCTTTTTATTTATCCTGCTTTGTTTTCATTGTAAATCTCCAATCTGCGGATCGATGCCTTCCATCATACCAGGGAATTCTTGTCATCTCCCCTTGCTTTCTGGAAGTCTTATTAAATAGATGTTAAACCTTCTTACGTGATCGTCCTCGACTCTTGATTTATCTTTCAATTATGCGTCTCTTTGTCTTGGGGGCTGCGTTCAACAGCATTTCCTTTGATCCCGTTTGCAGGTTTCTGGACCTGTCAAACATGTTGTTAAAATGGTCCACCGAGTTTTGGGCTACAGGTTTATCTTTCGTTCCTAGCAGGGTTTTTTTTTTTTAATATTAAAAAAAAACCCTGCTAGGAATAGCTTTTTATTATTTTCCAATCCTACCTATCATTTGTTTTTGTTCTCTGAGAGTTCTACTCTTCATAGTTCCTGGGAGTTTGGTTATATTGCCTGTGATGTCCACCGTCCAAATCACTGTTATACTAAATATTGTAGACTATTATGTAGTCTGTTTTAAAAATGCATTCATTATTATGC